ATAATTAATGCAAAAAAAAAAAAAGTTAATAACAAGTATCAGCAAGAAATCAGAACCCACATACATCGCTGGGGGAATGAAAAATGGTACAGCTACTGTGGAAACAATTTGGAGGTTCCTCAAAAAGTTGAACACAGTACCATATGACTCAGCAATTCCACTCCTGTGTATATATATATACTCGAGAGAAGTGAAAACATATAGGCATACAAAAACTGGCACATAAATATTCATAGCAGCATTATTCAGTAATAGCCCAAAAGTAGAAACAATACAAATATCATAAACAAAATATGGCCATATACAGAAATATGATTTAGCCATAAAAAGGAATGAAGTACTGACACATGCTACAGTATGAACTGTAAAACCATGCTAAGTGAAAGAAGACACTAAAAAAACTACAAAAGACCACCTGTTACATGATTCCACTTACACGAAATATCCAGAGCAGGTAAATCCACACAGACAGAAAGCAGGTATTAGTGACTACCAAGGGCTTGGGGAGATCCAGAGAGGGGAATAAAGGGTGACTGCTCATGGGAGTGGGGTTTCCTGTGGGGGAATGAAAATGTTCTGCAATTACATAGGGGTGATGGTTGCCTGACTTTGTGAACACACTAAAAACCACTAAACTGTACACTTTAAAAAGGGTGAACTTTATGGTATATGAATTATATCTCAATTTAAAAACTGAATAGAAAAAAATATAAAGCCTCTAAGCAACCAAAAAGACCCCAACGATCATACGCAAAAGCCTATATATTTTTCCTTATTTACAAAAACGCTTTTTTTTCTCTTTTTTTTTTAAGACAGGGTTCCACCATTTTGGTTAGGGCGGTCTTGAGCTCCTGACTTCAGGTGATCCACCCACGTCAGCCTCCCAAAGTGCTGGGATTACAGGTGTGAGCCACTGCACCCAGCTACAAAAAACGCTTTCAACCTGAGAAAGTTGATTGAAAAAATTACCTGATTCTCACCCGAAATCTGTTTACTCTCATTTTACATATAATTTATACAAATCTGGGTTCAAAGTCCATAAAATATTACACTGCAGGAAACTGAATACCGTCAGGCACACTGACAGTGAAGTTTAAAAAGAGGCAAAAGACGCCAGGCGCGGTGGCTCACTTGAGGTCAGGAGTTCAAGACCAGCCTGGCCAACATGGTGAAACCCCGTCTCTACGAAAACACAAAAAAATTAGCCAGTCATGGTAGAGCATGCCTGTAATCCCAGCTACTTGGGAGGCTGAGACAGGAGACTCAATTGAACCCAGGAGGTGGAGGTTGCAGCGGGCCAAGATCGTGCCATTACATTCAAGTCTGGGCGACAGAGCGAGACTTCATCTCAAAGGAAGGAAAGAAGAAAGGAAAGAAAAAGAAAGAAAAGAAAGAGAAGAGAAGAGAAAGAAGAGAAGAGAAAAGAACGAACGAACGAACTTGTAAACACATACTGAAGTCATTTGGTAAGGGCAAATTAGATATAGTTGAGCCTTAACAACATGGGATTAACTGTGTTGGTCCACTTATACATACATATTTTTTTCAATACAAGTCACACCAAGTGTGCCTGCCTCTCCTGCCTCCCCTTCCACCTTTTCCACCTATTCTGCCCCTGCCACAGAAACACGGGTACTGGAATTTTCAGTACCAAGACGGCAGCCAACCCCTCCTCTTCCTACTCTTCCTCCTCAGCCTATTCAACATGAAGACAATGAAGGCCTTTGTGAGGATCCACTTCCAATTACTGAATGATAAATATTTTTTATCTTATGGTTGTAATAACATTTTCTTTTCTCTAGCACACGTTATTACAAGAATACATATAAAATAGAAGCTAAAGTAGGTGGATCACTTGAGGCCAGGAGTTCAAGACTAGCCTAGCCAACATGGTGAAACACTGTCACTACTAAAAATACAAAAAAATTAGCCCAGAAAGAGGCACACCTGTAATCCCAGCTACTCGGGAGGCTGAGGCAAGAGAATCGTTTGAATGCAGGAGGCAGAAGTTGCAGTGAGCCAATATTGCGCCAGTGAACTTCAGCCTGGGCAACAGAGTGAGACTCCGTCTCAAAAAAAAACATGCTCTTTAAAATAAACCTGTTCCATGACAGCCTATCATCTTTAGGAGAAAGCCTAGAGGTCAGAAAACAACACTTTACAATCTGACTTCAACCTGTATTTCCAGCATAGCTATCTCCCACAATTCTAACCAAACCAGACATCTCTTTATTTTAAACATGCCAGGGCCTCCATTTTCATGCCACTGTGTTAAAAGACTTTTCTTGACTTCTCTGCCTAGAAAATTCCTACTTATCCTTCAAGTTCAAATTACATGCCTCTATGCCACCTTCTCTGATGCCACTAGGCAAAACAGTATTCATACAGCACTTTTTAAATGTTCCTTTTTTCTTTAAAGAAGTCTCGCTGTATTGCCCAGGCTGATCTCAATTTCCTGTGCTGAAGTGATCCTCCCACCTCAGCCTTCTGAGTAGCTAGAATTACAGGTGCATGTCACTGTGCCCGGCTCCCAACAGCATTTTGTACATACCTCTATTAATGCATTTGTCATATTACATCAAATTTGAATGCTTAACTTTCCTCTTCACCTCCTACAACCAGAACCTAGTTCACAGTACACGGTAGATAAAATTTTTAAGTTTTGGTACCTAATAAATTAAAATAATTTTTTAGAGGCCAGGCACAGTGGCTCACACCTGTAATCCTAGCACTTTGGGAGGCCAAGGTGGGCAGATCACTTGAGATTAGGAGTTCAAGACCAGCCTGGCCAACATAGTGAAACCTCGTCTCTACTAAAAATACAAAAAAAAAAAAAAAAAAAATTAGCCAGCTGTGGTGGGAGACACCTGTAATCCTACCTACTTGGGAGGCTGAGGCAGGAGAATCACTTGAACCCTGGAGGTGAAGGTTGCAGTGGGCCAAGATCACACCACTGTACTCCATCCTGGGTGACAGAGTGAGGCTCCGTCTCACAATAATAATAATAAAATAAAAAATTATTTTTTAGAAACTCAGCAATACAAAATGGCTAGCTAAAAGGTCCATACAGTAGTGATTTTAAGAAAAGTTACGAACTTTGAATAGTTAAAAGAACTAAAGCTCACTTCCAGATAAACTGGAAGTTACAAAGGTTCCTACAGGTTGAATTCACTCAACGGAATCTTTTTAAGAAAAGACAGGCCAGCGCAGTGGCTCATGCTTATAATCCCAGCACTTTGGAGCGCTGAGGCAGGCGGATCGCCTGAGGTCAGGAGTTTGAGACCAGCTTGGCCAACACGGCCAAACTCCATCTCTACTAAAAATACAAAAATTAGTTGGGCGTGGTGGTGCATGCCTATAATCCCAGCTACTCAGAAGACTGAGGTAGGAGAATGGATTGAACCTCAGAGGCTCAGGTTATGGAGAGCCAAGATTGTACCACTGCACTCCAGCCTGGGCAGCAAGAGCAAAACTCCATCTCGAAAAGAAAAAGAAGAAGAAAAGACAGACATCCAGTCCATTACTCAGACTACACCTGAGTAATTTGTTGCAATAATGATAATATGGAAAATCATGTGGATAAAATTTTAACTGACAGCTATGGTGGCCAGAATCTAGGCCAAACGGCCCAAAAGAAAGGTACACAACAAGGACACCATTTAGTATGTTACTGCTAGAGTCATGCATGGTAATCTGATGTCTTCAGAAATACTGTTCCTTCTAATTCAAGTCACTCCTCAAGAATAATTTACTCACTAAAAAATACTAGTGAAATTTTTACTTTATTACTCATTCTAGATGAGTTAATATTTAGTTCCATTTGAACCAAATCAAACACAATTACATCCACACATACAGTTAACTTATTTCTCTCCCAGTATGTAATTTACGGCAGCCAAGCAAACAACATCCAGAATAGCGTACAGTTTAGACCAGCCTGGCCAACATGGTGAAACCCCGTCTCTACTAAAATGCAAAAATTAGCCGGGCATGATGGCAGGTGCCTATAATCCCAGCTATTCGGGAAGCTGAGACAGGAGAATCGCTTGAACCCGGGAGATGGTGGCTGCAGTAAGCCGAGATTACACCACTGCACTACAGCCTGGGCAGCTGAGTGAGACTCAGTCTCAAACATAATAATAAAATTAATACAAAAGAATACATAATGGCTAGGCATGGTGGCTCACACCTGTAATCCCAGCACTTTAGGAGGTCAAGGTGGGTGGATCACAAGGTTAGGAGTTTGAGACCAGACTGACCAACATGGTGAAATCCGTCTCTACTAGAACTACAAAAATTAGCCGGGCGTAGTGGCGTACCCCTGTAATCCCAGCTACTCAGGAGGCTGAGACAGGAGGATCACTTGAACCCAGAAGGTAGAGGTTGCAGTGAGTCGAGATCATGCCACTGCACTCCAGCCTAGGTGCCAGAGCAAGACTCCCGCCTCAAAAAAAAAAAAGAATATACAGTGATCCTTCAAACATTTATTGACTTAACTGCATTCACCTCTGCCTATTTTATTTTAAAAGTTACTTTTACCTACAAAGGAAATGTCATTTCACTTTGCTTCATTTTTTAAAAAGGTAAACTAGTGGCTTTTTTCCCTGTTATCCCACACATAAATTTACCTAATATACTAAAGCTTTTGGCAAGATCTGCATATTTGCGCCCAAACTCCACTTAACCCCAACCTTCTTTCTTCCCAACTCTCACCTATCCACAAACTTTCATGATCTTCAGGGTCTCCAAAGGATCTACTGCCTGCAACTCATTTTCATTACACTCAGTAAAAGACTTTTCAGAAGTAAACAAATCAATCAGGGTTAGGGATAGTACAATATCCTCCATGACAACGTTTTATATAACCTACATCTTTAAATCAAATGTCAACTTTCCGTTCCTACTAACATAAAATTAAAACCAACTCAACTACTTCTATGTGTTACCCATTCAGGCAGTCACAGACCTGCATTAATATTTGTGTAGTATTTCTCCATTACCTAGGCTGAGAATTCTCCTCATACATTCTTTCTTTTCCCTCCTTGAAGAGGCTTATGGTTTGCTTAGTTTTCTTCATCAAATTCTCCATGAACACCCTAAAATACTCGTTTTCTCCAAGTGTCTCCATCTTCCCCTCATATCTTGACAAGATAGTACGGAGATGCTGGTAGGTATCTGGTAGCAGGTCTAAGATATAAGGTGGGCTATTCTTTAGCGCCAGCTTTGGGTTCTGACACAACCGTACCACCTGCAACAAATGAAAAAGAAGGGCTATTACTTGGGAGAATGTTAAGGACCCTCCCTTTTCTCATTTTAACAAAGTTATAAAGTATGAACTTTTTGCAAAATATGAAAAATACACGAGAATATAAGAAATAGATCCATAACCCCATTGTTCACAATCATTTTAAAATTTTTAGTGGACCCCTAGAAGAATGCATTTTTAAAATCCTCTGAGAGACTAACGTTGCAGATAACACACAGACCAAACAACTGGGGGAAAACATCCACATAAATGCCTAAAACATGCTAGATTAAATATGGCAAATTACTTTTAAATATACTGCTAATCCCCACAATATTATTTTTATTTTTATTTTTTTTGAGACAGGGTCTCATTCTGTTGCCCAGGGGGCTGGAGTGCAGTGGAGTAATCATGGCTCAGTGCAGCCTCAACCCGGCAGGCACAGGTGATCATCCCACTTCAGCCTCCTGAGTAGCTGGGACTACACCTCTGCATCACCACACACAGCTAATTGGTGTTTCTGTAGAGGCGTTCTGCCCAGGCTAGTCCCAAACTCCCAAGCTCAAACAAGCCACCTGCTTGCCTCAGCCTCCCAAAACACTGGGATTACAGACATGAGCCACTGTGCAGCCTTACCCCTATAATAGACTAAAGAAAATTCCCAGGGGCAGGAATAAAAGACACGACTGCCCTGGGAGGTAAATTTCTGTATTCTAGGGGCTTGGGTTTTAACAATCACTTGAGGGACAAGAACAGAGAGGCCTTGGACTAAGCACAGCATGGAGCTGCGAGTCCTGCGTTTGGACTCTCAGAATTTGCCTGATAATCCTTTACCCCATCTTCTACTTTCAACTTTTCTGAGTTCTTATGTTTTAAGTATTTCTTTTAAAGATCATACAGATACATTTTAAAAATTCCAGGTAGGCCGGGCATGGTGGCTCATGCCTGTAATCCAAGCACTTTGGAGGCCAAGGCGGGCGGATCACCTGAGGTCAGGAGTTCAAGACCAGCCTGACCAACATGGTGAAACCCCATCTTTAAAAAAAAAATTAAAAAATTAAAAAATAAAAATAAAAATTCAAGGTATCAATCATTTTCTAACTGGTAAGTTCAGTCCATTTTGTGTTTGTCATACAAATAAATTTCGATTGATTCTATCTTGTTTGTGCTTTCTATTTACATGTCTGTGTCCAGAAAAGACAAACTAGTGGAACAGAAAGTCCAGAAACAGACTCACACATGCACATAAGGAAATTCAGTATCAGAGGTGGCATTACAAATCAACACCACAAGAAAAAAAGGATTGAAAAATTTGTTATCCATATGGAAAAAAATAAAACTAGATCCCTTACAAATTACATGAAAATAAATTTCTCACAACTCTTCTCAACATCCCAAACTTGGCATGATTTCTCAGTGTCTTGATAACAATTCTACGTCTTCTAGCTTTTCTACTTGTTAGCAGTATATCTGGTTCAAAACAACCTAATCTAACATTAATAGAAGCCTAAGTCTGACATTCTCACCTTTATTTCACTAAAAGTATCTATTTTCTTGTGTCACTAAAAGCTCATTATAGGCCGGGCGTAGTGGCTCACGCCTGTAATCCAAGCACCTTGGAGGCCAACGCGGGCGGATCACCTGAGGTCGGGAGTTCAAGACCAGCCTGACCAACATGGTGAAACCCCGTCTTTAAAAAAAAAAAAAAAAAAAAAAAAAGCTCATGATAAATTTTTTGAGGTATTTAAATAATTCCAGTCTCTGGATAGACAGTAATCTATCTTAACTATCTCCCTACCACACCCAGCTTTGTTTTAACATTATGTTGTTTTAAAGTCTTTACCGCTACAAAATCACAGGGATGAATATGCTTGGGCATTTCATTCTTCTATACATCAGATTATTTCCCTAGGATAAATTTCCATTTAATAAGTAATGATCAAGAGCTCTTCAAAAATTAGCCAGGCATGGTGGCACACTCCTGTAATCCTAGCTACTTGGGAGGCTGAGGCAGGAGAATCACCTGAACCCCAGAGATGAAGATTGCAGTGAGCTGAGATTATACCACTGCACTCCAGCCTGGGCAACAGCAAAATTCTGACTCAAAAAAAAAAAAAAAAAAAAAAAAGAACTCTTCAAATGATAAGATAATATGAAAATTCGTAAGGCTACATACGTCATTCTCTATACACCATTGCTTGAACTCTTGTTTTCTTAAGTTTTCGTTTTTTTGTTGTTTTTTGAGAAAGGATCTTGCTCTGTCACTCAGGCTGGAATACAGTGGCTCAATCATAGCTCACTGCAACCCTCAAACTCCTGGATTCAAGCTACCCTCCCACCTCAGCCACCTGAATGAATAGCTGGGATTATAAGCACCTGCCACCACATCCAGCTAATAGACCCATATATAAGCCTAGCAAATAAAGACAAGCTGAATCAACAAAAACATCTGATGCATGAATATTTTCAAAGAGGATTTATGGAACAGGCAAAGAGACATTATGCTGAAGCCTAAACCATGGTTTTTAAGTTTTCAATCAAATTTTAAAAGAACTAAATAATGTTTTAGTATTTTGACCAGATTGAATAAAATAGTCATATCAAAATGTCTTGCTTCAGGCGAGGCACGGTGGCTCATGCCTGTAATCCCAGCACTTTGGGAGGCCAAGGTCGGCAGATCACTTGAGGTCAGGAGTTCAAAACCATCCAGGTCAACATGGTGAAACCCCGTCTCTACTAAAAATGCAAAAATTAGCCGGGCATGGTGGCACACACCTGTAGTCCCAGCTCGGGAGGCTGAGTCAGAAGAATCGCTTGAACCTGGAAAGAGGAGGCTGCAGTGAGCCAAGACATGCCACTGCACTCCAGCCTGGGCGACAATCTCAAAAAAAAAAAAAAAAAAAATTATAGTGGCCAGATACGGTGTCTTACATCTGTAATCCCAGAACTATGGGAGGCTGAGGCTGAGGCTGAGGCTGAGGTGGGCTGATCACTGGAGCACAGGAGTTCAAGACTAGCTGGGACAACATGGTGAAACCCCGCCACTACAAAAAATACCAAAAATTAGCTGGATGTGATGGCACATGCCTGTAGTCCCAACTACTTGGGATGCTGAGGTAGGAAGATCACTTGAGCCTGGTAGGTTGAGGCTGCAGTGAACCAAGACTGCATCACTGCACTCCAGCCTGTACAACAGAATGAGACCCTGTCTCAAAACAAAACATAGGCCAGGAGTGGTGGCTCATGCCTGTAATTCCAGCTCTTTGGGAGGTCAAGGTGGGCAAATCATAGGTCAGGAGTTTGAGACCAGCGTGGCCAACATGGTGAAACCTCCATCTCTACTAAAAGGACAAAAAAAAAATTAGCTGGGCATGGTGATGGACACCTGTAATCCCAGCTACTCAGGAAGCTGAGGCAGGAGAATCGCTTGAGCCTAGGAGGTAGAGGTTGCAGTGAGCAGAGATCACAACACAGAGATCACACACGGGTATGGGTTGGTTTGCTCTGTCACTCAGGCTGGAGCACAGTGGCATGACCATACCTCAAATGCAGATTTGAACTCCTGGACTCAAGAGACATTCCCAGCTAGGCCTCCCAAGTAGCTGGGACTACAGGTACACACCACTACACCTGGACAATTTTTTAAAACTATTTTTTTGTAGTGATATGGCCTCAGTATGTTACCAAGGCTGGTCTTGTATTCCTGGCCTCAAGTGGTCCTACCTCCTGGCCTCCCAAAATGCTGGGATTATATATAGGCAAGAGCCACCATGCCTGGCCCATGCTCTTCATATTAACAGCCTTTGGAAAGAAAAAAAAAAGTCCTAAAAATGTATAACCTCTTTAAAAAAAAAAAAAAAAAGGTTCCCCAAAGGCCCTATATGACTAACTCAACAGTTAACAAACATCAAAAAAAAAAAAAAATCTGCCTATATTATTTAATTAATTTTACATTGGCAGTCACAGCCTTCAAAGCACAAACGTGAACCCCAAGCTTAAAAAAAATTCACCAAAAAATTTCTGAAAGATAAAAATATTTTCCTGCTTAGTCTGTTCTCCATTTGGCCAACTTTATTTTGCATTCCCAATCCTGCAGTAGCAAAAAATGGCTCCCTTTTGTTTACTTCTGCCTGTACATTTACAGCATCACTCAGAACAATGTTAAAAAGAAACGTGCTTAGCTCCGGGAAACCAACAGTATCCTTGTACAGCTGCCATGCACTCCATTCATAATAGCTTTCTCACTGGCCTAGCTCCTCCCTTTGCTTCTGCAAGACTCAATGATCAATAGAAAAAATTCGGGAAGTGTTATAATCACAATAAAGAGAAATAAAACTATGCTTGAAAATTGCTAAACTTTTAAAAAGCAAAAAGTTATAGAGAACAATGTCTAAGCCTAACACTGTTGTGGATATAGAATCTTTTCTAACACTAAGGAATTTATAAGCATAGAAGACTAAAGTAACTTAAATATTTTTTAACTCTAAAGACTCCAACTTATTAATAGAAGCATTTTTTTATTTTCATTTCAATGTTTTCATATGTTGAAAAATGAATAGTTTTATGCCACGAAAACAAGTTTTCAGTAAGTGGAGCTATACATGTAAAATGTCATTACAATTTAAATAGATGAATATTAACCTCCTGTCAAAAGGAGAGGAGGATACCAGTGTACAAGTCCAAAGACCTGGGATCTAGTCTAGTGACTGACATTAACTGGCTATACAATGTCAAGCAAGTTATTTGCCCCTCTGGGTCTCAATTTCTGTCTCTGTAAATGAAAGAGTTAGATCAATTTATTTCTAATGTCTCTTAAAGCTTCAAATTTGCAAAAACTTGCAGAGATTTAACAGGTATAAATGCTCTTTTTTTTTTTTTTTTTTTTCATTTTGGAAGGTTAAAGACAGGGTTTCACCATGTTGGTCAGTCTCATCTCCAACTCCCGACCTCAGGTGATCCGCCCACCTCAGCCTCCCAAAGTGCTGGGATTACAGGCATGAAGT